AGCCAGGGAAGAAAGCCATAAGAGAGGAAAGTAGAGAGCAGGACAAAAGACTCGGGGCATGGGTGTAACAGTGTAGTACCTTCACTCTGGACAGACAGAAGCTCTGTGTACCAGAGGCCTGGCCTAGGTGGGCCAGTAACTCCTGCCCTTAGAGGTCCGCCTCTACTGCTGCCTGTCACCCCCAGGAACTGCATCCTTCCTTCCCGGCTCCGCTCCTGAGGTTCTGGTGAGGTGAAACTGCCACCTTCTGGCTCCAGGCAGCATTTCCTTGCGACACTCATTGGCCCCATGGTGCCTTCCTGCCCTCCTAATCATAGCCAGGGGCACTACTTGCCAAGCAATGCCAAGGGCAGGCAGATAGCTTACCATCTAATGGGGAAGAGGTGGGTAACAACACACCCTGCAACTTCCAACAATAATCATTCCTGCTCAGGAATCCTGACCTAGGCCTAGTTACATGGTGGGCAAAAGCTTCTACATCAGTAAGTGTTATCAATGTAGCAAGGAACAGCCCAACTCAAATTGGCCAAGGGGATTTACTGGTCCACACGACTCAAAGGTCCAGTGGAGCTTTCAGGGGTAAGTTGAGCCAGCAGCCCAGTGATATCACACATGATACAGTTCTCTCACCCTTCCTCTCCATTTCAAGCTGCTGCGTGTGTCTTACCCTAATGGTCTGTCCCCTCATGGTAACAAAAAGGCCAACATGGCTCCAGCCCTTACCCCAAGCTTCAGCCTTTACATCCTCACAGCATATATTCCGGAAGGGAGCCATCCAATGAGCAGGGAAAACTCTTTCTACAAAGTACCAACAAACCACCATGTCTCCATGACCAGAATTGGACCATTTACCCATTTCCCAAACCAAGTCCAATCACCATGCCCAGCTGGATCAAGCCATCGCTACCGTGCCAATCGCTTTGGAGAGGATCTAAAGTAACCGTGACCAAATCAGACAAGTCCAGGCTGAACTGGAGCTACCACCAACCAATGAAGACAATAGCCATGCTGAAGCCCCTGGTGGAAGGAGTGGGCGAGGGGTGCAATACAACGCCCACTACATCAATGCTTCTTCAAGAAGAAGAGCAGCCCCCCCCCTCCACTAATACAGGCTTCCTGTGTCAGACCACAGAGCAAATGTAAGTTCTCTCAATGATGCATAGCAAAACCAAGCCCCTATTTCTGACCTAAGGCTGAGAAAGTTGTATTCTGTTGCATCGTGGGTTAAGCTGTTTCTCCAGAGCGTGTTCCTTTTAACAAACAGAACTGAACGATGGAGGGCTTAGTGAGAGAATGACAAAGTCTCTCTCTTTTGAGGCTTCATGTACAATGTTGCCATGTTGGCCTGAAGACAGCATCTCCAGTACTTTCCACCACTCCACCAGTGTCAGCGTAGGTATGGCATGTTCCTGGGTATGTTTCCCACCACTCTCTCCCATGCCCTGGCAGACATTACTAATCAATAGCAAGGCTCTTTCCTGCTGAACCCAGATGCCACCCCAGAATCCTTCTCAACCAGAATCCTAGGCAGCCACTGCCAGAGTTAGCAGCAACATGAAACGCACTGATTTTACCAGGTAAAATGGCAATGGAACCTTGGGTTCCAAAGGCCAGGCCTAAACCTCAGGCAGACTCAGAATTCAGGCCAGTATCCTCCATGTTTAGCATTCTCAGCTCCGACTACTTGCCTCCTAATGAAGACAGAATCAATGCCTTGGGATAAACACTGAAGAAATGTCCTTCTTCACAAAAAGCAAAGTCCTTATATTTCTCCAACAAACTGACAACAGAAAAAGGCTCAAGCACATTCATTCTCACACTGCCACCTGGACGCAGGTGGGCCAGCCCGTGCCACCTCGCAGCCCCACTTTGCCTCCAGCAGCCTAAGCCCTCTCGGCCCCAAAAGACAAGTGCCTAAGCAAGCCAACTGTGTGCCATCACAAACAGCTGGTTCTTCTGTGGCCAGAAGCCAGAAGAAACTTCAACAGCTGGCGGAGGTGAACTCTGGCAGAAAGGTGTCAGCAAATGAACTCAGAGCTCAGTCACCTTCGTCTGCTCTCTCCTTGTGGACGAGCATCTGTTTATACATGCCCTACCTGCAAACTGCCAACTGTCAGATAACTGAAGCTCTTAGCTACCCATTGTTCAAGTGGGGAAACTTCAGATTAGAAAACTGTCTAGTTGTTGACCCACTGTAACAAGGAGATGTACCAGACACTGTTAAACAACAAACTCTACAATTCAGGTGGGGATGGGGGCAGGGAGTATAATTTTGGAGGCGGGAGGGAAGGGATGGTAGGGGAAAAACAAAGGAGGAGGCAACAATGCTTGATAAGAAATGTACATTACCTTGCTCATGTAAGTGTAACCCCTCTGAACAGTATTTTCACAATAAAAAACTTATTTTAAAAACTGCCTAGGGGCTGGGAAGGTGGCTCCGTGATAGAGTGCTTGCCTTGCATGCGTGAGGCCCTGGGTTCGATTCCTCAGCACCACATAAGCTAAAAGAAAAAACCCGGAAGTGTTGCTGTGGCTCAAGTGGTAGAGCGCTAGCCTTGGGATGAAGAGCTAAGGGACAGTTCCCAGGCCCAGAGTTCAGGCCCTACGACCGGACCCCCCCCCCCAAAAAAAAAAACTGCCTAGTTAAGAAATTGGTTTCCCTACCACATTTATGGGATAAGAATTTTCCCTAGAATTACCATATGCTAAAGTACACCTCCTGGAGCCCCAGATGCACTCTACGCATCCTTCATCCTCATTCGGTCCACATGGGCAGAAGAGCACCATCCTCTCTACTTCATGCATGAGGACCACACACCTGCGGCAGGAGAGCACTTCACTCCAAATCACAACTCCAAGTAATGGAGGGTATAGCTGAGGCAAAGCCCTGGAAACGGCGGGGAAGAGAATCCTGTTTGTTGCTGGTAGTTTGGACCCAGTGTCCCTAAAGACCTCAGTCTTTACTGCACATCAAATGCAATATATGCCACAGAATCCCAGGGCAGTTAGGTGATATGGAGCACTAGTGGAGAAAGGGTCCAGTTAGGCACCAATTACTCTACTTCAGACCATCACTTAGGTAGCTGCAATACCCTCATGACACTCTGTCGGGAAATGTGGAACTTGGATGTGAGCTCATGCTGCAGTGTGGTAGTGGTCAGGACTGCCTGAGCATGTCCCAGCCCCGGTGCCTGGCACAGCCACAGGACAAACTACCAAGAAACTGCCTAGCTCACCAAAAATGGGGAAAACACTGTGAACAACCCAGAAGTTAAAGTGACTGTATTAACTGGTTAATTGAATATGGTGCATTCACTCAGTAAAATACCATAACTAGGTATATAGAAATGGTCAACATTGCTGGACGCTGGAAGTTCATGCCTGTCATCCTAGCTACTCAGGAGGCTGAGATCTGAGGACCACGGTTCAAAGCCAGCCTGGGTAGCAAGGTCATGAGACTCATCTCCAATGAACTACCAGAAAACTGAAAGTGGCGTTGTGATTCAAGTGGTAGAGCACTCGCCTTGAGCTGAAGAGCTGAGGGACAGCGTTCAGGCCCAGAGTTCAAACCCCAGGACAGACCAAAAAAAAAAAAAAGTCAACATCAAAACTGGTTTTGTCACAGTAAAGACAAAAAAAAAAAAAAAAAAGACAGCCTGCAGACAGCCTGTGGATCATCTGTAGTGAAAGCATAAAGATACGTTCACACAGAAACAAATGGTTAAGGGCTGGGAAGGTGGCTCAGTGGTAGAACGCTTGCCTTGCACGCATGAGGCCCTGGGTTCGATTCCTCAGCACCATATAAGCAAAAAGAAAAAAGCCGGAAGTGGCGCTGTGGCTCAAGTGATAGAGCGCTAGCCTTGAGCTGAAGAGCTGAGGGACAGCACCCAGACCCAGAGTTCAGGCCCCATGACTGGACCCCCCCCCAAAAAAAGAAACAAATGGTTAAAAAAAAAAGACCAACCTGTATTATGGGAACAGGGGTTTTGTGCATTATGATTTTCTTTAATTAAATATAAACAATATGACTAAAAACAAAGGCTCTTAGACAAAAGTAACAGCTACTCATAATTAGAGAAATGCAAATGAACAGGCTTCTTTTTCTTCCATGATGTTGTGAGACCCAAACTCTGGATACTATCCTGTGAGCAAAGCTGGGAGCAACTCAGCCTTGTGCATACCTACATACCTGGCTTAGCACCTGGGGTTCGGGGGCGGGGGGGGGGGGGGGGGGGGGGGGGGGGGGGGGGAGGCCAAGTGCATGACCTCTGACTTACAAATGCATTACAAAAACTTGCAAGGCAAGTCTGCATCTTGGAATGCTTCCAACAAAGAAACTCAACTTAGGCATAAACGACCCTCCCAGATAATGGGATGTGGCATTATTAGCTACTGGTGAACTGGTTAGACAAATTCTGGTGTGCTCAGACAATGGCATGGCGGGGCTGGTAAAAAGAAGTGAGTGGTGTAAGGAAGGGTACACACATCCACAGTGTGGACCCGAAGTAGCCCTGAGATGGTGATGTTGATCGCCTCTAGGGAGCAAACTGGGTGGCGGGGCAAAATTGTGTACTGAACCTTCTGTATTTTCAGCCAGGTGCGACTATATGACTTGTTCAACAAAGTTAAATTAAAATGCATAAATCTCAGCGAGGCACCAGTGGCTCACGCCTGTAATCCTAACTACTCAGAAGGCTGAGATCTGAGAATCGCCGTTCACAGCCAGCCTGGGCAGAAAAGTCCGTGAGACTCTCTATCTCCAATTAACCACCCAGAAAACCGGAAGTGGGTGCTCGGGCTCAGAGTGGTAGAATGCTAGCCTTTAGGAGAAAAGCTCAGGGACAGCGCTCAGGCCCTCAGATCAAGTGCCTCACCTGCCATACATACATACATACATACATGCATACATGCACACTGCATAAATCTCATTCCTTTTGGTCACAGTCTTTCATTAAAGAGTATAGGTGAAGGTAAGCTTGCCGTCCTTCACCCATCCCTACCTTGCCAGTGCCTGGACCTTGACAGTGTGCCGCTCCTCCTGCTCAGCCACCTTTCTTTTTAGCGTGTCTACCTCTTGCCGGAGCACAGCCGAGTGTTCCATCTCGCCATCAAGCAGGTTCCGCAGTGACCTGGGAAGAGAGGTCCCAACCGTTCCAGTGTGGTTGACAAGAATCCATCCAGCCCAGAACATAGAACTCGGCCTACCTACATCAAGTCTTAGTTCATTCACTGCATATTCGTCTCTGTGCACTGGATAATTCAAGTCCACCTCAGGTAAACTGACTTCACCACACAGCCAACACTCCGAGTGCTCAGTACAACAGCCCAGCCCTTGGTCTGCAGCTGGGCTATGGGCCCTTGCTTCCCTGTGAGCAGGCTGGCCATCTGACAGCTTAAGATCAAGGGAAGATGAGGAGTGAGCAAATCCCAGTCAACTCCCTTCCCAGACAGCCCACTCAAAGGTGTAGCATGTTAAACTGAGACATTCTGTCACAGCCACATCAGGGAAGAGACTTAGCAAAGGAAAGGATGTCAGAAGAAGCTGAAAGAATAATCTGCAGCGTAAAAATAGAACGCCTGTTCAGATTACATGACAGCTGTCTAGTCTCGCTTCCACCGTTCCTCATAAAACACACTTTGAGCCTGTTTTGTTGCCGTCTTCAAGCTAAACACGCATGGATAGCTCCATGGTTAGACGGAGCACAGCCGAGTCTGTAACGTGCTCTCTACTTGCACATCCATCATTCCCAGTCTTCAAAGGGAAGCGAGGAACAGATCTTCTAGAGGGCTTTACAATATCCAGGTGCAGTACTCACTGTTATCCTTACTACTCAAGAGTCTGAGTTCTGAGGATCACAGTTTCAAGCCAGCATGGGCAGGAAAGTCTGTGAGACTCTTACCTCCAATTGACAAAATAAATAGAAAGTGGAAGTGTGGCTCCAGTGGTACAACACTAGTCACGATCGATAAAGCTAAGAAACAGCACCTAGGTACTGAGTTCAAGCCCCAAAACTGGCACCAAGAAAAAAAAAAAAAATGCGTGGGGAAGAGGAAGAAGAAAAAACTTTTATAAGAAATGAGGATTGGGCTGGGAAGGTGGCTCAGTGGTAGAGCACTTGCCTTGCATGCCTGAGGCCCTGGGTTCAATTCCTCAGCACCACATAAGCTAAAAGAAAAAACCCGGAAGTG